TAAAATAAACCCTATTTAATTCTTTGTATTAAATAGGGGAACTTGTCGGCAAATAAAACGGTTTCGCAGACCCAAACGGACGTCATATGTTTTTCCTAGTTTATTTGATTGAGCCTCATCCTCAAGTCTTGTGTTTATCCCTCGGGATAGATACAGGATTTGAGGTAGAGCGCTCTTTCATTTAAACTGTGAAAAATATGAGGTCAGTTTGATTTCATATTTTTCTAAAATTATATATATATATACGTAAATTAAAAAGTCCTTCCGAAGCGGGCGACGGGATTTCGATTCCGGCTGCCGACAGCTTCTTACGGGCGACCCCCCAAACAATCTCTTTCTTTCTTTTAAGTGTCGACAATATGTTATTGATATCGTAAGTTTCCACTAACTGACCGTCTGCTCCAGTCTTAGTTAATTCCAAGTCTCGGATCGGGTCATGATAGTTGTAGCTGTTGATTGGCAATAATATTTCTATGTTTTATTGTGGTTTTGATTAACTCTAATATCACAAAAAACTGGACAAATAAAATCTGAAAAGAAAAAAATTATGCCTAAAACTGCTACTACATTGCATGGGCACGCAAAATCATCCCCAAAATTAATTGTTAATTACAAGCATGATTGTTCAACATTAATTGTTATATCATGAAAATGCTTAAAAGTTTCATGAGGGCAAAAAAACGACATACCGCTCAATTTCTATGAGTTTACAGATCTAACACCTAAACTTTGCTTTTACATTTATACCACCCAACCAAATCTTTCATACCAAATCTTTCATATCACATAAAAATATCATCATTTTCATGCATAAGGAAGGCAAGTTTGTAAAGATTAAAGTTTAGGTATTAGAAATGTAAATATATAGGAATTGAGTTATAAGCATGCAAACCTTCCAAAAAACTCACTATAATATGCATTCCATTAGAGTGCAAAGCTCAGGCAAAACCAACGAAAGGGTAGAACTCAAGGATCATGCATCATCACGATAACAATTAAAAAAATCATAATAAGGTATATTCACAATGCATATGTTAAAATTCAGTTTAATTTTTGCAGAATAGAGTCGAAAAGAAATTTTAATGAACAAAAATCAAGTTACCTTGCTCAAATGGACAACGTGCTGGATCTTCCCCAAAATAAAGAGCTAATGCATCTGCATTTCGGCCCTGCACCGAAGAGGAATTAAGTGGTATGCATATAAATGCCACATAATTTAATTCAAGATCAATGAAATACATAGCTAATCAATCAAAACCTCAAAACAAATCGTTTCTTAAATTCATTCTGCAATAAATTTAAGTCAGGATATCTTAACAATAATTTTCAATAAAAGATCACTCTAACAAAAGAAGACTCTGCAATATGCCAGTTTTGAGAAAGAAAGTGATGCTATTTTCACACACCACGTTAGAATAAAGTGAAGTTAGCGTCCTCACTTCAGCTTCAGCATCAACAAGAAACTTCTTCAAGGTCTGCGAAATAAAATATCAATTGAGAGGGGTTAAATTAGAAATAACAGTAAAACTGTAGGTACAATACCAGCTTCTTCATGGATTTGATATAATAAATAGACATGTATGAGTAGACCATTTCCAAAAGCAGCAATGCCTTTAATAACACATAATAGAAGAACCACAATAACATCACCACAGCATCGAATAAGAAAATCAAAAAGAAAATTGCTGGCAATACCAACATAGAGTGATGAAAACACCCAAACTTAATGCATCAAGAGAAGAAATGACCATAAAAAAGTGGAAAATGTATGGCCCTCAACTTGATGCTAGAGAAGAAGACCAACAAAGAAAGCCAATGACAATGGTTAGGAATTTTTGTTAAATAAAACCACGATCACCATTATATTAAAGCTAAGGGAATTTACAAACATACCACATAATTACTACGTATTTACATATCTAACAGCCAAACATTCATATTTACATACATAAGGTAGTGACGTTGGTACTTTTTATATGATGTTAAGGATATGAGTGGTATGCATGTAAATATGAATGTTTAGGTGTTAGGAATGTAAATACAAAAGAATTGTGTGGTATGTAAGCAAATGCCATTTAAAAAACCATGCTGGAGAGATAGAGCAATCATAACTTAGTCGTTTCACTAGTGATAAGCATAAACACTTCAGTTTCTTGAAGAAATTACAATGAAAACTTATATTAGTTCCTGCCTATTGACTAGCTTTAGGCCCATGTAGACCCCATTTACCAATTATTAATTTCTAATTAAGGTTTAATTTATTTTTCTACTATAAAGATGCAATTTAGAAAATGTGTCTCTGGTTTCAACCATAAATAAGTGATGTATGCTAGGGTGTTTCTGCTCTTCGATATCATTGTTTGGCAACGTTTCTGTTGGCTTTCCCGTTGGAGAGCAAACAACATTATCCTTTTGTCTTCCAAACATCACAAACTTCACATATTCTCCTCCTCTTGACTTTCTTAAAGACTTCAACTCTATATCCGATCATCAAACACCTTTTGGAAACCTTAGAGTCATATCATTTGGTATCATGACTAAATCCTAATTTCAATTCCTAATCCTAACCCTAACCTAAACTTTGAAAATCTAACATTCTTACCTCCACAAAAAAAAATTGTCCATCATCTCAAAACCTAAACCCTTGGCCACCATACATCTATATAATTCTACCCTAGCCGAAAATCCAAAGTCATGAGCAAGTCACAATGTTGCTGCAGAGAAACCCTCAATGAGGTGTTCAAGAGGTTACATAGATATCATGAATGATATGCAGCAGAAAATCCTCCAATTACAATGAACTCTCATTGATTTTAAAATTTGGCGGCATGAGAAAATCACCTACAACAACAACGGCGATCCCACAGAAGGAGGAGAAAATGAGAACAACTCTTTTCACCAAGAAGCCTCAAGCAACAAAGAGTAATATGTATGAATATCAATTGTAAAATAAATATGGAGGCCAACACAAGCTTACTTGATTTTTTTTAAAAAATTGCATTTGATAGTCCTTTAGTGGATATTACAGCATGTTTTTTATACTCACTCACACATTCATATGTGTGAGAACTTAAATTCAAGATCATGTAATTGGAGACTGTTGACCTCATTTTTAGTGAGGTCTAGTCCTCCTCTTAGGGTTTAGGATCTAGCCTTAGGGATCTCCCTTTGACTATCTTAGAATCTTAGAAATGGGACCTGCCTCCTTTTAGAAATTGAACCTACTTCTGTCCCCTTTTGGAGTTTTGCGTGTGTGGTATCAACTTCTAGCTTAGAATGATGAAACTAACACGAGGAAACCCAAAAGGGATTCTTATAGAACCTTTTAAGCCTTAGGGTGACCTTCTGCACAATTCGCACTCCCGCACGCACAAACTTCACAATTCAGAGAGTCGACACGTCCGATCGCCACAATTCACATCGCTTGCACTGCTACCTGTCGAATGCTCAAATAAACCTTTTGAAACGATCGATAGTGGGTCAAAATTTTGTGAAATTTGAATTTTAACGCGTTTTTTACCCGATTATCGATGACGTCGTCCGAGCGACCCCGAATGACAAAACGGACTGCACCGGCACGTCCGGAACGACGATTTTGCCTAGGGAGGACACCCATTTTGTTA